TTCAAAGCTTTGACGAACAATGCTGCAAAGAAATTGGATAAAATATCGAAATTTTTTGCAACTCGTCATATTTGAGTTTCTCACATAATTATTTTGATATATAGTTTAACAAAATTATTTTCAGTTATCTATATGTGGATAAATTTTTAGATATATTCCAGCAAAACCGTTTTCTCCATGTACGAATATACTTTACATATATTCTTATAAATTAAACATACTTCAGCGATTCTTACGTTATAGTTACGTCACTGCTAAATAACTCAAGGGTATTATTTCTCTTTCGAGAACCACAAATATTTCAGTCGAGAACGTAAAAATTTTCACATTTTGCACGATACGTTCTTGCGGCTGTATTTCCGACGCTTCAACGAGCAACTTGAGTGACTTATTTAGTTACGAACCTATGCGCGGCTACTTAAAATTTATTAACTCGTAAATGCTTGGCCCCTATACCGTTACTGTGTTACGAACGTGCACGTTCGATAAAGTGCACTTCATAAATTCATGCGTGTGGTATCCTGCGGTCAATAAGCTTCATAATCGACTCGCCTCATAAAATCTAGCGGAATTACCGCGACTGAACTACAGCGCCAAGGCGTATCGTGATTCATCAGGGATTTCCTCATCCAGGAAGACAACTGATAATTAGAGCGGATCATACCAATTGCTACTTGTAAAACACATTTACGTTATAACATATACTTTCGTTTCTAAGCGATACGCCAATCCGTTACAGTTTTTACATAAATATAAGCTTACAGTCTTTCGAAATAATCTTCTCTTTGATCATTTCTTTCACGGAACTTCGCAGAGTTTTATGTCTCTGGCGCGGACGATTTTTCGACTGCCGCGGGATCTTAAATCAGACCCGGAGGGAGGACAGGTAGTCCTCTCCACAAAGATCGGGTCCGGCCAGCCGGTCAGTCAGGTAAGAGCAGACAGGTAAAGGAAAGAGGATTGGAGAGGGCTTCCCCTGAGAGAGCATCGACGATGGAATGCGAAAGCGTGGGTTCGGTTTGGCCGTAACGCGATCTCGATATACAGAGAGGAGTGCGAGGTGGATCGGGAACCGGGAGAGCCTCGGGGCCTATGTACGCACGTGTAACGGTACTCCGGCGCGATCGCTCGATGCCGATCGCCTCTCTCGTAATCGACGCTCTTGATCGTCTCGCACCGTACACGCATCTGCACAAGTGTATGCTTGTACATGTGCGTTTTCGCCGTTGCGCACAACAGGAGAGCGCGTGTCTCGGCAGAGCTGGAAAGTGAACGAGCGTCGTCGTCGTTGGCGTCTGCCTCGTATACCGCTCGGTATCCTCGCGAAACGCCAAGAAAGAGAGAAGAGTGGACTTTCTCCTTGACTGTCCCGAAACTGTACCGCCACGCGCTGAATCGATGGGATCGTTTTTGGAGTAAATTCGAGTCATTATCTTTTGTAGACAGTAGTAGAGGCTCTATAACAGAGTCCGATGAGTGATTTTGTCAAAATCCTACGAGAGGAAAGTATATGTACGAGGAAAGAAGAATTTTGCTGAAATATCTATAAATTTTGCTACAGAGATCGGACAATAATTTTGTTAGGTCATCAAAATATTTGTGTAGAAAACTTAAGCATAATGAGCAACAAATTTTAATACTATATTCTGGCAATCAACGATATTACTTTGATAGTCCAATAATATGTTCAGTTCTGTATCTGATTAAACTTTTAGATACTTCAGCAAAACCTTTTCAAATACTTCTTCTTATATATATTATCTCATTTTAACACTTATACCGTTTAACTTTATAATTTTAATTAAAATGTAATAGAATGAGAAACAATAACATTATAACGAGATAATATATATATACACATATATAAGCAGAAAGTATATAAATATATAGTCCTCGTAGAATTTTGATAAAATTACTCATGGCCAGACACTGTTATGGTCAGACTGTTATCTCCAGTAGACAGTAATGCGTTTGATAGTAAGAAGGATTTTATTCCTTGTTTCCTTCGTCGATTCTCAGAATTGTTGAACTCTAGTTAACATCAATTGTTCTTTTCAGTTGAACTTCTTGCACCGTTTTATCTTTCCTCTTTTTCTCTCAAATATATAAAAAGAAAAAGAGGAAAGATGAACGATGCAAGAGGTTCAACTGAAAAGAACAGATCTAATAATAGTAACTTGAGAAACGCTGCTCATCTCAATGTAAGTCTCAGGATCGCACACTGGTTTCTACCAACGTAGATAAACCTTTATCTCAGTTCAATTTATTTTTTTTTTGTTCTAAGAATTAGAAAAGGCTAAATAGTAAGTTATACCGAGATTAAAGTTAATCTACACTGATGGAAATGGGCATGCATGGTGCATCTTCTTTATACGGGGGGGAAACTGAATGAAGCAACCCCGAGGCAGGTTGCTAGACTCGAGACCAAGTATGATGATGACTGATTTAACTCGAGTGGATAGAGAGCGTCTCGGGGTCCAAGGTATAAATAGCTGCTACCACTTACCGTCAATTCAGAGCGAGCGCAAGACTGTAGTTCCTCTGTATACAACGCATCACGCAGGGCATAACGAAGTGACCATTCATAATGCATAATGCAGCAAAAAAACATTCTTCAAGAGTCAAACGATGTTCTGCCAGAGAATAACGTATTAGATTAACCTACTAATTGCGTTATATGATCATACAGAGTCGTCATATGAATTCAACACCATACACAAGCAATTTTTCTGCTTCGAGCCAATTATTATGTCTAAGAATATTCGGATAATGTTAATACGGCATAAGCGTTCATCCAAAGGGTACCAGCGGTAAAAGAAACAATGCGACGACTGAATTTCAGTTATAAATTTGGCAGACTCATGAAATGTGAAACGCGATACAATCAATTCCGAGAGAGGTCCACGACCTCTAATTAGAAAAAATTCTGTTAATCGTTCCTAATTTATGTCCCGCGGCATGAAGAGATTTTGAGCCAAAAGAGAGCCGTCTCGGCACGCAGACACGAATAAGACAGATGAAGCGTCGTCTGCCCTTTCTTTATTGTCTCATCAAAACTGGCAGTAACTTGTGGAGGAATTGAATACCATTTTAAGCATCGCATATATAGAAGCTGTATCAAAGTACATATATACACGGTACGAAGCTATGCAGCTAGCATATAAACGCAATGTTACGGAAGAACGACAGTGTTAACGACATTAATGGTATGTTATTTTGGAACGTATTCTTTTCTACTGCTGATCAATCGATCAAAAAAGATAAATATACCTCCAGTTGTATTTATCGCATCAATCACGCCGTTTTTTTAATCCTCCGAAGCTGACGTCAAAATCTGAACACAGTTAACTGACGCTGCATATACCAGACCTATTTATGTTAATCTAAATTAAAAAGCACTATTGATTTCGAGAAGATGACTGGTGTAAAAAAGAAAAAAATTCTAAGTACATTTTAATAAAAATAATGTAAATTTTTTCAGATGTAATATGAAAAAAATTGAATTGTTTGACATTTTTTACAAAGAAATTTATAATTGAATGGATTCAGTAGATTTGCTGTTAATTCCGGAGGATTGACTTATATAGATATTTCGAATCAACGTGATATCTATTACTACATTTATCTCACTGATCGTTGTCTTTTTAACTTAAATGTTTGGATACACATCTAATGCAATGATACGTATATCAATCGATGAGTCAGAAACGTCATTGCGTTATAGAGATACGCTCGATTTGTCAGTCTTAATGGCGACGTAAGGCTAGCAACTTGGCATGCTCAGACGAGCTTTATAAAACCCGAAGACGTCGTCTCGACGCCTCGTTAGTGGGTGGAGTTGTTATTAAGTGCCCCCTCGTTAACGATACGGAACGGTCGTTAACGCAGTAGGGAGCGGGTATGCCGGAACATAACTATTACCGCAATGCTTCGATACGTAAAACCAATGAATAAACGGGGCAATAAGCGTTGCCTACAAATAAACGTGAAGTTATCATGAAATTATCGTGAATGCGCTTTCACGAAACTTCCTGAAAAAGTTGTTCGAATGATCGGTACTCTAAATGCTTATGCAGTGCTTTGATTAAGTCTGTTTTTTATTCCTAGACTAGACTGTACTAGTATCCCTAGAAGACTGATAACGAATTCGATTAACGTACTCAGTGCACACTGGTGTACGTTAAAGCCGTCATATTATACAAATTGACGTAAAGATATGTTTAATATAAATATAATATAAAAATAGATTAAACCGTGAAATCCTCAATACATTTCATTATTAAGTAAAATATGTAGGTAATTTTATAATTCGAAATATTTGCATTTCACTTTTACACAGATTAAATCAATGAACAATAATTTTAACATGCATTAATGCGTCCAACCGAATTCGCTGAAAATGGCCATGGCTACAAAAAGACGTATATAAATATAAAATATATGTGTCTGTTTGAAATGTGTGTGTTAGATGTAAATATATGTCCGCTACACTTTGATTGGTACCGCCATTGTGTGATACCAATCGAAAAGAATGTTAGCTAGATTCTGTCTTTTAAGGGGACACTAGACAGCACTAGAACTTTCTTGCTTTCGCAAAATATCAAACCTACACTTATTTCACCTAAAGTTCCAAAAATGTATTTAATTCAGCTACAGAAAAAAAGATCTGTTATTAATATCCCGTGTGCTTTAATTGTTTGCAATTGCTGTCTTCTACAATGATTCATATAATAATGCCTATTAAACTATCGTGCAACGAATGCAAGAAACGTAGATTTCTCTCTCTGCTTATATTAACCTGTTTTCCACGAGTGTCCCGATATCGAAGATCTTTAGTGCTTGTCCCGGTATTGCGTCTGACGCGCGACGTTCGTTACATAAAATCCGTTTAGGAGCGTGTAGCGGACCGCTTTATTCTCGCTCGGTCAATGCTATGCGGGGAATTATAAGGCGAACACGAAGATGGTATCGCACAGCGCCGTATGCTTCGCTTTACCAACCTTGACCGTTGGAGTGATTCTGCTGCGGCGATTGAGGCTGGCCCTGCGTCAGTATAATTTGACTCTCGAGCTGCTGGAGCTCAGCTTGGAGCTCGTTCAACTTGCTGTTCGCCTTCTTCACAATAGTCGCGACATCCGAGAGCGACTTGCGATCGGTCGCGACCTCCCTCAGCTTCTCCGCGCCAGCCTTTATTTTCAGCTCCTGCAAATAAAAAAAAATGTTAAAATTCATAATCGTGCATTGGAACGAAATGGTGATGATCATTATCATCACCATTTCGGTCGAAAACGACATCTTATACCGTGAAGTTTAAGTGCATACATTTATTATAATCTCAGTCAATCGCTCGTTTAAATAACATCTATCACTCGATCGTGCCGCTCCTTTGTACAGCAAATGAGACATAAAATCACGCACGTGCCTAATGATTATATCTTTCGATATATCCTTTGGTATTCTATTAGCGAGCATTAATATATAGTTGCCGCGAATTTTCGCAATGAGTCACCATGATTTTTACACGGGAAGAGCGGTTTAGCTAAAGTATTTGAAAATTTAGTGAGATACATATGTGAAAATAATTGTATTGGACATTTAAATAATTCTATTGAATGCTCACAAACATCTTATCAGAATGTTAAAACTTTCTGCTACATTAACATCATGTTTTCAGCGTCTCCACATAATTATTTTGCTGATCCAATACAATTACTTTCAGATCTGTTTTCACATCTAATTGAATTTTTAGATGCTTCAGCAAAATTATTCTTTCCATATATTTTCCAACATAGGTTCATGTTGGTTATGAAGAATTATTCGTCTAATATTACGTCACACAATATTAATCAGACAAAAATAATCGTTCAAAAGATATTTGTTCAATAAGGAATAATGACTCATTTGAAACAAATGCTCTTGACGTTCGATTAAGTATGCATCTGTTCTGCAGTGCAGTTGATTCACAGAAAATGTTCTGGTAACAAGCGTATGAAATGCTGTGTTAAGAAACCTATCGCATTATACAGTATTACACACGGCTCTGTTTCGCAGTGGATCTATTAGCGGTAGGCAGTAACCAGACAACGTTAAACGAGCGTGCTGTAAAGGCGCTTAGTAAGTATCAAGAGATAAAACAAGACAAAAGACAAAAACGAGAGAGAGAGAGAGAGAGAGAGAGAGAGAGAGAGAGAGACGCTGCTATATAGCAAAACTTGTTTCTACGAGTTGCAGAAATGGTTGGACCACCCTCAAGTTTCCATTCGCAGTGATTTTTAGAACGCGACGTCCGGTGCATCCGGAAACCATAGATCATCGATCGTTTATTACCGAGACGTATGTCGGATATTGATTAAGCCAGATGTAGGTACGTACGAAAAAAACATAATCACGTACGATCTGCAAATACTCCTATCTGCAATATCCTCTTGCAATCTCTTTAAGTATCGGGGATTTGCAAATCTCCATCTAAATTATGGAATCGATTTAAGAATGTAATAGTATCATCAGGTGTGTATCTATGTGTGTATAGTCTTTGCAAAAAGTGACTAGAATTGGAAATTTATATCTTCTAATAATACCATATAAAAATGATTGAAACAGCGCATTACCAAATAAATACGAAACAGTTCAATAAGATCAATATTTGATGATATAATTTTATTTTATAAATTCAAATAAAGATTTCCTCATTGTATCTCAATTATTTTTTCAAACTAGTCTACTCTTCTTACTTAAACAATTTTTTATTCAGCTTCTAAATTGCCGCCAAACCTTTTGTATTATTTTTCCAAATATAATATAGAAAAATTCGTAACTTTTTATAATCTTTTCATTGTATTAAAAAAATTCATGTAGTACGTTCTATTCTCCGTAATAGGAATACTTTTTGTGACCAAGGGACTATATGAGTAGGTCCTCGGGATATTTGTTCGTTATCTATTTTAGAAGTTTTACGATTTTGAGCTATCTATATGTATACAAAATTGTAACATTTAAAGTTAGCATAAATATAGCGATAATTAGCCTATGTGAACAAAACAAAACTGTGAAGCATAAAATAAAACATAAAATTATTTCAAGTCATTGAACTATTTAAAAATTAAGAAAATGTCCCAAAAATTTTCCCAGGACCTACATGCTCCATTACGAGTTAAATTAGCCCTATATAAAAATCCTTCCATTATGGGAACAGATACCCACGTCTATCATAGAATATTTATTACTAGAAACAAAAAAAAAGGCAAGCGGAGAACATTAAGATAGCAAGGAGAGATTAATTTCAACGCGTCGAAATGAAAAAAAAGGATGCATTAGGCTAATTATTGCTGGGTAAGAAAAGAGAGCGGTACAGAACAAAGATAACGAAGAAGACGTAGAGTGCTGACCATGCTACCGTGTATACGGACGAAGAAAAAGACAGCTTAGCTGCAGTCAACGAAGGATAAGCGAAAACCCGGCATACCTTGCGTATTTCTCGGCGTATATGTTCTCGCAGCACGTCAAGACGTGCCGGCAAGGGCACCTGGTCACTGCCAGCCACTCCATACTTGCTCGACAGTTCGTAAAGAACTGGGTGCCTGATGTAATCGCCCTGAAACAGATACAAAGTTCAATCTTAATTATTGATAGCATCCAATGTGCAGCGATTGGATGATTCGGGCAAAAGAGCGCGCAATTTCTAAAATAAGGACGGGCAGTTCGGACGATTAATTCACTCTCTAATTAAACTTTCTAATTAAAACGAGAGTTTTTTTTCCTTCTTTTGTGTTCTGCAGAAATTTTTACTTTTACATAGATACCACGAGCGAAGCGCTATATCTGTATTATATTCATTTTTTCCATCCTTACGCCAAGATTCGTATCAATTAATAATCAACATCCGCGCTGTACTCGTTTCCGCGCACTGAACGTATATAATCTTTCGGCATTACGCGCGAGCCCCGTGTTAATCCTTATAATAATAATAATAATCGCAATATGATCTCTCGCATTAACGTGCGCCAGAGTTAAGATAACATTAGGCGGAAATTACACCGTAAATATCAACGATCAGAGAGGGTACCGTCGACGAGCCGAAGAGAAACATCGCGGAATACATCTCTTTAACCGGAAATCGTCTGGCGCGTATTGGCGTGGCCTACTCGTGAGATACGGATATAAACGCTAGGCAAACACAACACGCGCAGGAGAAAGTATCAGTCTCCCGCAATCTCGCATCGAATGCCGGCCATCGAAACAGCATTATCCATTGTGATGAATGAACGTTGCTTAGTTGTCAATCCGCGTGACGATACAATTGCTTCGTCCATGGAAACGTCCAAGGTTATTCGATCAAACTTCTAACGGATGTATTAGTGACCTACTTCGAATGCACAGCGTGCGACTGCGAGTCGTGTCTTTGAATCGCGAGTAGATTAGAGGCCGCGAGAGCCTTAAAAGCGAGTATCAGACTGTAAGCCGATATTCATAGGTTGTGTTCCAAAATTAACTGCCAGTACTGAAAATCTATAATGCAACGTAACGTAAGCTATAGATTTTTTTTTCGTACAAGCAGCAAATTTTGAAATACATCTGTAGTCGGATTCTTATTTTAAGACCGTCTTAAGTAATGTCTTAGTAAGATGCACTGAGAGAAAAAAAAATAGTTGTGGCAACTCTAAAGTTTAAATACTTGTACCTAGTTTTAAAAAGTAATAAGAACTAAAAAGTAGTACCGAATACTATAAAAATGTAGTACTGTATAATAAAAATATAATATTCAGTACTACTTTAGTTCTTATTACTTTGTAAAACTAGGTACTTAAATTATTAGAGTTGTTATAATTTAGTAGTTTCAAAATTAGATTTTTCTCTGAGTGTGCTAATACAACTCTCTGAATTGGTTCATTAATATTTTAAGACTTTACTTAAGTCAGCCTTAAACATAACATCGATTAGGGATATCGACCTTCGATTGGAATTGGATTGGAATTTAACTAATCAGAAAAAAGAGAATCAATATCAAGTTTAGTAAACTTTGCTTTGATTCATCACATTCCGATCCAAATTTAATCCTAATCCTAATACGGGCTTAACTCGATTTTGTGCTAATGTCCTTTCTTATCAAAATAAATGAACTATGTTCAAGCAGCTTTGCAATTGTTGTAAGATTCTTTAATACAATTGGTATATTTAATACACTTATGTTAGATCCAATGAAGCGTTAAGAACAAACCACATTAAAGAATTTTACAATTACAAAGCTGCTTTTTCTGCTAAACACAGCTATTAACTTCAATCTCTATTTAACTTACTTTTTATCTTCTTCTAGTTCTAAGAATTAGAAAAAGGGTAATAATAAAATTAATTTACATTGATAAATGAGAAATAAGTCTAAGGAAGAAATTGATTTGTTTCCAGCAATGTAGATTAATTTTAATCTCGATTCAACTTACTCTCCATCTTTTCCTAACTTTTAGAACTAGAAAAAAATGAGGATGAGCCGAGATTGAAACTGATCTACATTGGAAATAAGAGATATCTTCCCGATACAGAACCGACACTGTCGGCGGAAACGTACCGCGCACGGCGTCACGCAAGTCCGAAGGTATCTAGAACTGGTCACTTTGGTCAATGGGATGCATTTGCACACAACCGATTTCCTCTTCTTGTCGAACCCGATAAACGACATCCTTATTCCGTGAAACGGCTTCGCACCGAAACGACCAGGATACTTTCGTCTCCTAATCGCGTACGCGTTCTGTCGTGCGGGACTAACATCGGCAGACGAACGTTTTTAATATATCGTGATTAAGATTCGCACCGAGCAACAAACAAACGAGCTTCCATCGTGATTAATCACTGCTGAATCACTGTCACCGGAGCGATAATCTCCCGGGCTGCGATCATGCGGGCCCAGGTAAACGTCAGCCACCTGTTGCAGCGAAAATCTACGATATCACGTCCGCACGCCGTATTTCCGTGATTCCGCGCACTGTCGCTGTTACACGACGACCTAACTGTAAAGCTCGCACGCACCCGGAGCGCGCGACACGCTCCTCGAATTTGAGAAGTAGAACTGACCAAGAAGACAGCGCCGACGCCGTTATCTCTTATCTCAGCCGCGCCGATAACAGCGTTACTCAACTGTAAAACGTGAACTTATCGTTTCCTTACGATGCTAATATGAAGAAGGTATCTTAAAAAGAAAAAAGAAAAAAGAAAAAAAAAAAACCAATCGTCAAGTCAAACTCGTAACTCGGTGCCATCCGATCGATCCATCATTTAGAGTCATAATAAATAATTATAGGTTTCTTCTTTTCCGAAGAAAGTTCTGAACTGTAGAAACACAAAGAACATAATTCCAAATAAATAATTATACGTATGTGAAATTAATGTAATCGCGCATCAATTTAGCACTTCTGCTATACATATATTTTCTTTATTGTAATCGAGTTATGTCAATTTTGATGAATTGAATTTACTTCGAGAAAAATATCTGTGAATAGTGTAAATTCTAAGCATATGACTGCACTGTAATCACATTATTGTACAACAAATAGCATCACAAGATTCAAGTTTTTGTCGGAACGATAACTGTTGAAAGTATTGGTCGAAGTTCTCGCATTGAAATTAGAACGTTTCATTCACAATTCGCAATCGTGCTAGTTACGCAAATTCTCCTTGTAGTAGATATTGCCGGACAGGCATAGGAAGTGACGACAACCCCGCGACTCTGCCTTCGGGAATAATGAAAGTACATCTGGATGTTAATTGAATTTTTCGCTGCGTGTGCGAAAACGTGCGCACAACCGACACTAACTGACGCACGGTCTATTTTCATGCATTCCACTAATATTTGCCACGATAGTCTTCGGGAGGTCAACAGACGTCGCGACGTCAGGGGGGACCGTTTTCATCCGGACGAGCATTTCGCACGAGAAAATCGGGGAAAATTGTGAAAGTGGCACGAGAATTATTTTCACCTATACCAAGCCTCCAAACGAACCATCATGCAACGCCAAAAGAAGACCTCAACGTCAGCGTTGAATTACTGATTCATTACTCATTCATTATTCATTCATTGACGTATTACGATCAAAACCGTAGTTTTAATTCGGAACGTAAACGGCTATGAAATTCGTGCATAAAATTAATTTATTACACCAGAGATGGTTTTCAAAGATTTGTCAAATACAATCAAACAAAATTTCAGTAAAATCAAAGAGAAACCGCCATTATATAGATTTCAATAGATTCTTTTTTTTCCCCTTTAAGTAAAACTTTTTCAATCCCTTTTTCACAGAACTCCAGCTTTTTTATCTTATTTATTTAGCTTTTCAGAGCTTTATTTCTCCCATAGTAAAAATTCCGCTTCGATTTGATTGAAATTTTGTTTTTGCTGTATTTGACAAACCTTTGAAAATCAACATAGTATAACAGATTAATTTTATTATTTTACGACGAATTTTGTAACAATATACAAGCTCAGTTTGTACACAAAGCCTGACGGGAAAAAACGACAAATCTTCCACATCATTTTGATATTCTCCGTTTTATCGTAAAATTGAACTTTAAAGAAAGAAACAATTGATATTATCGACTATTAAAATATTATTTTCTGTAACAATCGTATGACGTTCCAGCATTCTATTCGCTGCAAAATCCAAGAAAATGTCGGAGCGATCTAATATTAGAATCGACTTTTCGAGACCGAATCTTGTAAGTGTAACTCACGATTATACGTAAAAGTTTTCGAGACAAGAATCGACATGCCGACTTCACGATCTTTCTATGATCATCGAGCGGACTCTAAAAAACTCGAGGTCTATAAAAGCCTTCGCCATAAAATATGTATAATTCGATTGGATGCACTCAGAAATTACCTATCACAATTGTTCGGAACCGATTCGATTCTCCTTAAAATATGATGTGAAGCACAAAAATTTGAGATACGTTTTTTTATATCGATCCAATTTGGAATTTACGTGAAACAACTACTCAAAAATAATTGTAACCAATAAATTATCAACAAAACGATGAGATATAGAAAAAATTTTTTAAATAAAACAGAGAAACCGCTAATGAAAATTGCATACACCAATACATACTAATGCCCAAATAATGCACAGGCAATACTCAACTTTTATATCCACTAATGCCTTAATAATGCCTACTATTGTCCTAATATCCATTAATATCCACTAATGTTCCAGTAACATTGCACAACCTCATACCATTTATTATAATACACAATTCTCTTAAAAGGGAAAACTGGTTTAGAACACTGAAAAGTAGATGTTTTTTGCGAATTTTTTATAAACAAACCATGAAACCGATCTTTCAAAAATTTTAGGGGTGATTTGTAGTATTTCAGCAATGCAAAATAATTTTTTAATATGAAAATAATGAATACAATAATAAGTTATATATTAATCATTATATTGTGTTTCGGCACAGACGTTAGTACTATAATTGGCGTGCAATGTGAAGCCTGTAATCCTTGCCTGAATCAAAAAAACCAAAAATTTTTTGAAATTAGATAATATTTTATCCTAAATAAACTATAAAAAATAGGAGAAAAATATCAAATTGTAAGTGCAGAAATAATTATTTATACTAATTTTTTAACAAATAATGTTTTTAGTTCATTTAGGATGATTGACAATTATGTAACTAAAAAACTTTGGACGGAGTCGATTAGTCAAATAGTTTTTAAGTTATCTTGCATGCCAATTTTGAAAAAGTGGTTTTGAAAAAAAAAAACGCGTTTAAAGTTTTCGGTATCGCTGTACGTCTGCACGACGCGTACCTGTTTCTTAAGTTATAACTACAAAAGTATTTCAAATTTTGGTCTAAAACTTTACAAGTATATTTTTAAAGAGTAATACTATCGATTAAAGCAAAAAAAAAAAAAAATGAAAATTGGGACTCTAAACCAGGTTTCCCCCTTAAATAATGTCGAGTAATCACCTCAATGTCCTCAACGATTTACTCATCGGATAAAACTTTCTTAATTTTTTTATATACAATACTTATAATTTTCTAGGCTTTAAAAACGTAATGATTTTGAAAAATCATTTCTACTAAATTTGAAGTTGTTTTATCTCTTAAATTTTAAATTGTGAATCAATATAAAAAGTAAGTATTTCTTAGATTTCTGTATTTAACAATACATTTAAAGAAAAATCGAATGTTGTAACAGGTACCTTGTCAGTGCATATTGATACACATTAAAGCTGTATATAAAGATATGTGTTTAATATAAATATAGAAACCGGTTAAACCCCCAATACACTTTGTTGTATTGTTAAATATATAAAACATGTATTTTAATTCGAAATATTTGCATTTACTTTTACCCTCAGATTAAATCGAACGGCTTTAATATGCATTAATGCGCATTAATGCATCCAACTAAATTTCATATAAAACCTCTATTCTATAATTCTTAACGACAGTGTCATTATATTGTCGTTACGCAACTTTTTTTTATCATACATAAAACCTGTGTAACGACAATATAACGATATCGTTGAGCTTTAAACACAATTGAAAACAGGTAATAGAAACAGGGAACAGGTTTCAACCTATCAGAAATGTGTACATCAGAATACACGATTTCTGACAGGATGAAAAATCTATTATTCTCTGTTCCTATAGACAGTGCTTTTCAATTGTATCTCAGACTTCATCGTTGTTAAGAATTACAGAATAGGGTGCCTAATAAGATCTATTTGCGAGCGGTAGCATTCCTCAGACGTCCCATTCCCGCGTCTCTTGTACCTCCTTGCAGGAGAAGCAGGTGTTACGAGAAGGAACCGGCGCGAAGTCAGTCAGGACCGGTTACACCGACGCCGATTAGCGCCAACCGGTCACCTTCTTGTCGTCTTCGTCAGGTAAAATGGTAACAATCGAGGAGCGAGATCGGTACCGTCACAAGCTGGAATCCTGATGTGGATGTACAAAAGAATCTCACTTTTCCTTATCGAAAAACAAACTTGAATATTGCTGCATATAAACTTCAGTACGGTAAAATTCATCTCCGAAAATTGGATCACTGGAAATAGAATCCGGTTGCATTAATTGAAATTCTAGTGAAAAACGAACAAATCAATATTTTATAGTTAAACCTATTCTAATTCTAGTCAAGGTAATCGATGTTCAATCTTTGATGACCAAAATTTTAATTGATAGATGTAATCAGAATCTATTGGTTCGTTCATTTTCAATCAAAAATTTATTTCAGGGATCTTTTGCGATTCAATGCCGACTGGACAGGCCTAAGATTAATCGCCATTAATTTCACAATGTCACGAATACATAACTCAAGAGAGTAGAGTAGTCTACCTAAGCGGAATCGGTCAAACCAAAAATCGCAACTTGGCAACCGAGTGTGTGCCAGTTTAGAGACACCCTACAACAGAGTCTCCATTGTTAGATATCAAAGGGACAATGATAGTCCAATCCTTTGAATTAAATAACATTCTGTAAAATTTATTTCCATGTATGTTGAAATCAATCAACTTCTGTGGTTAGTTTCGAAATAACCGTCTATATTAACGTATACATTTAGTAAATAATAAATTAAATTTGAACCAAATTTAATATATTCTCTTGAGTTAAATTATTTAACTTTATTGTATTTTAGTTAAATGAATATATTGAGTGGGAACAGTAGCGATCTACAAAAATAATACGAAATAACACAAACTAGGTATAATTTGACATCATAAATTTAACAGTATGGCCATGAGATGACAAGTATTTAAATAGCCCGTCGTTGTTTTCAACTTTAATAAATTAAAATGAGATAGCAATTATAAAAAAAACGATATATACGCTTTTCTTTCTCACTCTTGTTTTGACAAGTGGCCAGACTCTGTTATAGAGTCTAGTGCTGATCATATCGACGCGACGTCGGTTAATTAATCCTCGTTAACTGGATTTTTTTTCTCTGCTGTACAGGTGGCAACGTAATTTCGAAGGGCGAACAGCGAATGAAGTCAATTAGGATTGCTTTCCTTTTAAGAGACGCAGTCGAGATACTTTTGATGCAAATTGACACACGTCGCTTTCCATTAGCAATTTTGTTTAAATTCAAATTATCGATACTTTTCGACTTAGCTCAAGAGAAGAGTCCAAGTATAAAAATGTGAGTTTAATCGATTGGAAGATATTAGAACGTAATATAAATACGGTGAGAATTATCCAGATACTAGTGTTGAATCTAGAGATATTTTTTAGAAAATATATTTATAATATACATACAATGGAAAACACACTGTTTGACAAGTTTTAAGCTAATTAAAATTTTGTAAGATTAGATAGATATTAAAAATGTGTACACACTACGCATATGGCGTTGCATTTAATTGTGGCAAAATGTATTCGACTGATGTGTGTCGATTTAAGTTTCCTAAAAGGAAAACAGCCTTTTAAGACTCTAAACCCGGACGGTCGACAGTGAAGAAACGGGGGCTGGCCCAAGCGAGAAACGGCAAGGAAATCGAATGCATATCAGGTGTGCGCGGCCCGTCATGCCTGGTTTGCCGCCGACCGAGAACTCACGATCCACACGAAAAACCGACCGCGACGGTCCCCGTCATCGATGGGAAAGCCCCGCTTGTGCCTCGAGGTACAAGTGCATGTGCGTCGCGAACGGACGAGAGCGAGCGAATGAGAAAACGGCGGAAAGAGAGGTGAGAACGACGAACTAGGAGGACAGGAATCCCGACTCTGAGACACGCGTCCCAGGAGGAGACGTGCACGATTATGGCGTCCGGATAACAACGCACGTCGCACGGGATAAACGCACCTCGGGCACGCGCACCAGTTCGCAAAGAGAGCGTGGAGATGGGAGAGCGCGGAGTGCCTCGCACGGGGAGACTCACCTGATAATAGCTCGATTCCGCCATCTTGCTCCCGCACTCAATAACGCTCTTCCACTCACTCACTCACTACTGCCGCCGCTTTCCATCCGTCCTTTGTGCGCGTCGTTGAGCCGACGGGACGAGAGGTCCATGGCGCGTTTGATCGCGCGGCCCGGAATTATATCGCGCTGCGTGCGTCGCGTCGCGTCGGCGCCGTGCCCACCGCCGTACGGCGCCGCATCTCACGTCGCCGCTCCGTTAGAAGTACACTCGTTACCCGAACGTGAAATCCCGTCGAGCACGTATTCCGCCAGCGGACGAAACAATCGACGCGAGTTCGCTCGGCCGATCGGCGATGAAACTGTCGCGCGCACCAGCGAGTCATGCACTAATACACGGGAGGATGAATGAAAGACGCGCGGCGCTCGCCAACAAAATACCGACACGACCACATTCCACCGCACCGGACTAGCGACTGACTGAAAATGCCGGGCCAATCGCCGTGCGAGGCGCGTGCCGCGCGTGCGCCGACTCTTCGCTGTCGCGGCCGACGCGAGCTCGCGCGACCAATCAGCGCTCGTCGTTACCTGCACTCTAGGATCACGCGCCAATCGCGAGCATTGGCGGGACGCTAAATCCCAACAGTCTTTTTGAAATTTTAACAAAGAAATCTTGCATAAATCGTCCTTTAACTCTACATTACTCGTACGATTTTTTTTTTACGTAATTATTGCGTGAAACGTTTCTGATATTCTATATCTCAATTTTCATTTTCTTTGATTTACAATTAAAGGTTGATACATCTAATAAAGAAATGTAAAAATTTTTTTTAATTATAAAATAAATTTGCGCTAAATATAATAATGTGTATAAATAGGATTCATATATTTAGCGAATTTAGAAGACGGAAGTTCCCTCATTCTGTTCAATAAAAAAATTATTACATGAGCTGAAAATTAAAGAAATCAAGATACTTATTTCGTATTTATAAAAATTTAAGCATATTCGTTTTCGTACACTCCATTTAAATATATACATTACATATACAATGTACAATGCTTTTAGAAATCAATAGATGCAATTATTGAGAAATTAGTGTCTGAAGAAGATCCTCAGGTGTTCTGGAAAAGAGACCGCTGGGGTTTTGGTATAAGTTCTTCGGGTCATGGCAGGCGTCAAACAACTGTCTATATATAGCTCCGATTACTTCGAACGATCGTTTCTGAGTAATCATGCGATGATTATTACTTTGCAGTAAACTTATTTGCGGTAGCAGTAAGACGTCCGGCATCACTAGAAATGCCTCCAGTTTATTCTACAAAAAATCAGCATCTCTGATGGTATTTATGTTATTTTATTTTATATATAAATCACTTACAGTAAACTCTTTCACGCTGAGGGCATCCATGCCTGGTATGGACGAAAGTGGTCCCTGATCGCGTCCTTGCAAGATGGTGTAAATTGAGCCAAGGTTTAAATGTGCTACCAAAGAACTAGCTTGCTCCGACGTAAGTGTGTCGATTTGCGCATCGGATTGTGCCTGGATTATTATAGTCCATTGCAATCATCACAATTTACATATAAACATCAAATGAAGCAATGTGGAAACAATTTCAGTCTATTACGTCTGACTCTCTAGTGTGTATAAACTAACCAATCACCTGTAACCTTTCTAATCTCTGATCCATATACTCGTACAGTGCCAACGTTGATTGTATCTGATGCATACAATTGAGAAGATAAACGGCCATATCCACTGTTGGCAATCTGGATGCTGTTTCATTTACTTCTTGAAGTAATGGATCGATGATGCACGACACAATCTGCCAATCATTAAAACAACATAAAATAGATTTCTTTCAACAAAAAGATGAAAAATATTCCTATTGAAAATACCTGTAACATATCTTTTTCTCTGTCTTCAGCTATACTAGCGACAGATAATATTTCATTTAAGAGCGATAATAGTCTAGAGACTGACGGAGCAGGAACTAAATCACTTCCGGGAGGCTCCGCACGCTCTCCAAGAGCGATTCTCGTTTCTCTCTGCAATCTGCTTAGAAAACTTTTTTCACTCAAAGCTAATAAGTCTAACAATGTTTGATCTAAAACACTGTCGGGTATAACTTGTTCAGTAATAGCGCGGTAGAATCTGATTAGAGTTGTTATCGAATATAATACTGTCGCTGGCGCTTCTGTAGATATAACATGCTCTATTCTTGACTTTAGAGGATGACATAATCCTTCTGTGATGTTACTTAATGCCTGTTTCACCTGATCCGACACATCTGCAATAAACAGATTCATATATTTAAACAAAATAGATTTATTATATATTATAGATTCAGTATATATTTAAACAAAGATTCAAGAAATGGAAAAAAAGAAAATTTCTTACCTGTTTTATCACAGCCTTTCACTAAAATAAGAATATTCTCTTTCTCTACAGGAATTACTTGATGCAGCCATGCAAGCATATCACCGACATATCGCTTAGGATCGTTGGCATGCATTTCTATAGGATTAGGTGTTCCAAAACTCTCTCCTAATGTTAGCGCATCTATGAATAATCCCACCAAGGCAGTTCTCCTAGCTGTACAGTACTCATCTAGAATGTACCTAGCAACATATGTTAATTATGATAAAAATAGCAGATTCAAAGAAGCAATACCTGCATTCAAATGTTAATCATCTTACTTGAATAACACTGGTCTATCTTGTAACTTATTCATGGCTTTAATGAGTAACGGCGCCAAACGTTCGTTTTCTATATTTTTACACTGAGTTTGCGTCCATCGATATAACCTTTCAAGCGCAGATTCTTGTAACAATGTCATTCTTTGCATAATATCCAGAGCCAATGTTTGATAACCAGACTGCATCAATACTCTACATTTACCATGAATATCCTGAATGTCAAATCATATAAAAAGGAAAAAATAAATATCATTATTGAAAATAGATAGTTTTAAAAAATAATAAAACAGCCGAGCTGAATTATTCATATGCCTGTGTATTATAAATGTGATAAATATAAAATAGTAAATTAATAAACAAGGCTACATAATTTAATAAAACAATATATAATCGTCATATATTTATCATGTTTGTAATACATAATAGCATGAACTAGCTCAACTCATAAGCTCTTATTTTATTGTCTTTAAATTTTTATTCTTACAATTTAATTTGCATTTTAATTTTTATTATTTAAGAAGCTTTCTATATACTTACTAACCTGTACTTTATTAACTACAGAAAAAAATTCTTCCGTTATAGGCGACTCCCTGGCTGATCCATGTAGTACAGTCAATTCAGATGGAGTCAACTGAAAATTCCTGATAAACGCACTTGCAACTTCTTGCTGCATAGTTAAGATTTGACTGGGAATAAAGATAAATAATAAATTTCTTAGAAATGTGAATGTGTGTCATTATACAAACATTCAAATATCTTTACCTTTCACTCTGAAGCTTTGAGGTCTGCTCAATCAGTTGAGAAGTTTGAGCCTTCGTAGCTTGCAAGCGATTAGTCATAGATTGCACAGATGTGTTCATTGCTAGAACATTTTGATAAACATCGTCCAAGGAAGCTTTTACCTCCCTAAATGTAGCCAAGAATTCTTCGTTTATCGCCAGACTCCGTCTCTCTATTTTGCTACGCAGGTTTCGACGAGAATTCAATGTGTTCTCAGTAAAGAATGTTGACAACTCTTTCAAGGCTTCCAACGTATCCTAAAATACAAGAATAATTATTGAAGTACCATGTACTCAACTCGCTGTCATTTGCAGAATAAGATATCCATATAATCGGTTCGTTTTTCACAAATTATACCTTATCATGTTCCACCCTGGATTCCAATAATTTGTTGACCCTCCGCACTAAGGCAGAGTTCATGTTTTTCTCGCTCATTGTGGACTTGGATCTTCAAGTTTATCTGTGGCATATAACCTGTATACGAATGTCAAAATCAGTCACACGTCATTTGAAGAACAAAGCAATTTTTTTCAATGAATTTTGAAACGCCGATCACGATGTGATCGCAGGAAACTACCGCGATCAGAAAGAAATATGAGAGAAGATAGAGCCTTTTTCTTGTTATTGCAAAATGCCTCCGCGCATTATACTGCCCTCTGAAGAAATGGATATCAACTACACAACAACATCCACTTTCTTTGCCGTATTCCTAAGGGTATTCCTAAGGGATATTGTTTTATAGTTGACATCCACTTCTTCAGTAGTGCGCAGGGGCATTTTGCAGTTACAGGAAAAAAGCTCTCATATTCTCTCTCGGATTTCTCTCTAATTATACTCTGTCTTTATTGATTGGTCAATTCGCTTATTGCTTATATTTTACTTGATTTTACTGTTTCAGCTTCTTTTGCCATGATGGCCCTTAAAATTAGAAAAAAATAAAAAGTAAATTGAGCGGCGATTAAAATGAGAGTACTTCGAGATCCTGTCTATGCTTTTCGAGATTGCTGAAAAAATCGCTAAAATACATTTTAATGAAAAACAAGATTATTCAAATACGCGAATTCCCTTGGGAGATCTCACATGTCTGAGGCAGTGGCCTAGTTTCCACCGAGGGTTTAAATCAGATTAAAATATAAGAACCAACCAACTACAGTCGAGTATTCCCCTGTTACGATCGAACGACTGTAGTTGGTTGGTTCTTACATTCTGACCCGGATTAAACTCTCGGTGGAAACTAGGCCATTGAGACAAGAAACGAAAGGAATGCGAGGAATTCTCTTTGAATCGAAAGCTTTGATAGGCCGGAATCAGACTACACATTGAAGATTGAAATTTGATCTATTATGAGGCCAAGGAAATTTTAGTTCCTATTGTTTTATTAGTTAAATTTAAATCTTTCGATTTTTAATCTCAATCTTCAATAGTCTGATACTGGCCATATACTACTCCGATATCATTGACGTGGAGAATAGACCACCAATGACGTTTCACCACCCTCGAACGAGGCATACGCACGAGCAAGAATGTCGAAATGAGAATGATAATTCATATTTTTGTCATTAACAGCCGACGAAAATTCATTTTTCAATCGATCAAATTGAAATTTGGCAGTATTAATTAATTTGATAGTATCAACGTGGTGTGACAATAATCGGTGAAATTAGGGAACTCGTGATAAATTTCGGCATTTCGACAAATCATTCTACGCAATTAATGTACATACTACGTAGTGCACTCTAGAGAGCGAAGGACAGAAAGAGAGTGAGAGAGCGAGTAGGTATCATGCAGTGATGCAGTAATTCAACGCGTTCAGTTGCGTTTGGTCGTCGCATGGATGTGTAGAGTTGCATTTTTCAATGAATTGACAAGAACAGAATAAAAATAAATATGCGCTGGTTAATTCTGTGTATCTTTATGGTTATGCTGATGCACAGCATAAATGGGAACGGCGATGAGGCGCCATTAACCAAATTCGGCGCAAAAACCGGGCCGACTCTGAGATTCTTTTATTGGTAAGATTAACGATCGTTTTGTTGATTTTCATGGAAGCTATCGGAGGTGTCCGTCCTATAAGATAATGGACGGTCGTAAGCAGTTAAATTGTACACGTGGTTTAAATGAGAGACACTTGTTAGACTTCTCACATAAATCTAAAGACTTTATTAAATATTGCAGTGTTGATTTTATCGTCGAGCTTTGGGCTCTGGCTTATCATTAAATCAAGATAAAATTATCGTTCCCTGTTGCAGCTACTCGTGCGGCTATAGAAAAGCTTTCGAACAATACGTAAATATTCTTAAGCAGAAGTATCCAGAACTTCATGTCGAAGGGGAGAATTTTAACCCACCTGGTTATAATATGTTAATTGCGAAAGCACTGGTAATTGAATTGATTGTCTGACCTTTCTATGACCTGTACTTCTATACACATCTCATAATAAATATGTAAATTTGTATTTAGGGCACATTAAAAATACTTATAATTGTTCTAATTGTAAGTGGAACTGATTTTGGTTTGCCCCTAACATCGATATGGCAATGGTGTTTAAATAATCGTTTTTATTCCTGTATATTGATTTTCCTGCTTGGCAATGCCATAGAAGGCCTATTAATCTCGTCGGGTGCATTTGAGATACATTTCAATGGTAAATATATTTATCTCACTATCAATATAAGTATCAAGTACTTGATCGTTACAATACTTGATTGTTACAATGTATCGTTATGATATATTTCAGATGTTCCTGTTTGGTCAAAACTCGAAACTGGCAGGATACCACAACCACTGGAATTATTTCAAATAATTGATTTTCACCTAGATATGCAATTTTCAGAAATGGAAATGGACATAGGAAAGATCAAATTCCAAACATAAGACAATGTTATTTCATATTCTCAAATTGATAAATCTAAACTGTACTATGCCAGAAAGAATGCTAATGGTGTAATGTGATGAAAATATGTACAATATGTATTTGTTAAGTAAATAAGGTTTAATGTATATCTTATCATAAAACATAATTCTATAAGACTACAAACATATAAGTGTAATGGAAATAAAGCTGTTACCAAAATTTTTTATTATCACAGGATTTTTATTCAAAATCATGGAAAAAAATCACACTGAATATCCATAGTAAAATATAGTACATAATTTTACAGTCATATCCTCAATGCCCGTTTCCTGTGCTTAAAAAACCAGAATCTTACAAACAGGAGGTTTTAGTCCAAATATCATTTAACTATTCTACCGACTTCATTAATGCCTGTTGAATGATCACTGATAAGAGGACGTGCTTCATATGTACAAATAGTTACACCATGTTTGTGAGCTGGAGTCCATTCCCCTTTGAGACCGATGTAATAAATTTTAATTTGTTCTGTATTTCCCATACCACTGAAGTAAAGGCTTAAATGCTGCACTGATGAAAACTTGACCGTTCTGTAATATTTACTTATATAATATATACTTATATGTATAATAATATTTATATATTTAATTTTTATAAGAATTTTTAACATCTCACACAAATAATTCGTATATAATCACAGTCGCGTGCTATAAAAATTCTTAAATCTAAAAATATAAATATAAAACAGATAGCTGAATTATTACCTTATAGGATATTCATGTACTCCATATACATCTGTAATTAATTCAAATTCCTGTTCTGGGCTATTATCTAAATGATCAAATAGCATGTGCGGCCGGTTTTTATATCTGTTAATATATATAAGTTTATGTAAATTTGAAACATATATTTTATGTCTTAATATCGTTATATAATTTTTTTTATTTTTGAGCAATTTTAATTATACTCACAACTTCACTGTTTTGGGAGAATAACTTTCATCTGCAACTACAATAAGGCCCTTTAATTTTACATCTCCTGTGAAACTGCAAAAAATTAAATACAATGAGACTAAGATACATTTCTATAAAAACTACATCAGGATATAATACTTACGGTACGTTAAACAGAAGCTCATCATCGACATCACTTTGAACAAACTGAAATAAGATAAGGAAAAGATTACATAAAAGAATCTTAATACAAAATGCTACGATATATTTGTAAAACAAAAATTTCTCAAAGGGACTTACCTCTGATCTATCTAATCTTTCTTCCCATGTTTTGAAAATTTTAGCACCATTGCCTTCCTCGTGCTCATTTAGACATTCCACTCTGTCTTTATCTATTTTTTCAAACAGATTATAACTGATTCCTATTTCTGTGTCATGTACACTACCACAATTACATCGATGTTCCATTATCTTATCCTGTTAATAATAAAACATTTAAGGATATGAATATATACATGAACAGAAAAAAATCAAACAAAAAATTCATAAAGGTCAAAATAAATTATATATTTACATAATTTTAATATAATTTACATAATATAATCAATTATAATATTATCATAAAATATAACATACTATGTTGATAAAAAATTATGAATATAAATTACACGAATGTGAGAACATATCTTTTATTATTTTTCAATATATTCATAATATTCAAATAATTTTCTCCTGTTTTCCAATGTTATTTTGCTGTCTTTAAAGAGAATGATTATCTGTATTTTAAACGTTTATCACATTCTTTAAAATTCTTTAAGAATGTCAGATGTTGAGTAGAAACTAAGGTTAAGTTCACACAACAACATAATCTTAATAATTGTCATAATAAATTATAATAAAACAATATTTTGCTTACGTACAGACAGTAAAGCTTGCTTTGTCAGTTGAAAGTCGAATAAAGACAAGGAGAAATGTGAAATTAAACCGTAAGGAACTATTTACATTGAAGCTCCCTCTCCTTCAACAGCTGCCTACTTAACCGGTCGGTAAATAATGTTTTTGTCATAGAATTGTAAATGTATAAATCAATGTATATTTAGATTTCAAACCATTCCGCGTAATATAAATTTCCCCTATTATTTCCCCATTCAATTAATGTTTATTTGCACAATTTTTTAAATCAGATTTATAGAACTCTTAAAAATTTTTCATAAAATTATTCTTTAAAAGAGTGTATATATATAAAGATGGGGGGAGAGAAAGAAAAAACATACATAAAACTATACTAGATTCATAGAAAATAATTGCGTTTTTTAAATTCAATATCTGTAAATGTTAAACTTACAAAATGCGCCGTTGAATTCAAGAGCTTTCTCTTAAAAAAGATAATATAAGATTTATTTAAAGAGTAGAAATTGTATAGGATAATGTAAGGTAAAAGTAAAGTTCTAATATTTAAAAACAAGTGATATTCATTTATAAACTCTATAGCGTATGTACATTTGTTTACTTCGCATATAGTGAATGAAATATAGATAGAGTGCAACATAAATAAAACAATCTTTGTATGAACTGTGTGTGGAATGGTTGCATTGTCGTCTCCTATGTGTGTTTATCGACAGCCTCGTCGATTATTTTATTTAATTTCTGATTTTGCCAATCAAGAGCAATGTTATCGAGATGGTTGTCAAAATCGATCAGATTCCTATACTCCTCTGCCTTTAGTAACGAATACATTGCATCTGTGTGTGCAATATCATCCTCATAAATTATACTGTAACAAAAAGAATTATATATGATACCCAAATAAAAGAACTCTATCAAATCGGTCTTTTAAGTATCATAATTTTTCCAAATAATCTTAAAAATATATAATTACTTTGCCTTATCCTTTGGCTTCCATTTCCCCTCTACAGATTGTGAAATTCTCAATGGACTCGAGCCCATACCTAAAGTCACTTCTCGATTATCCACCTAACAAAACAAAAACCAATGAATTTACAGAAATAGATGTAAAACGCGTTTTGATATAATAAACTAGCAAATGTACCACTATCAACAACGCACTGTTGAAGTTCTCTGCAATTTTATCCGCTATTCTATGGGCTGGTCTGTCTGTACTATATAAAGAACACAATGATAAATTAGTATCACACAAAGAAAAGAGAACATTATTAAAGAAATATCGTATAACTATCATACCTTAAATCATTTATATTCTCGTTGGCCAGGTAATAACCCGCTAGTATAAGGCCTTTGCTTGCGGCTAACTGGTCCACCTATTGCAACATTAAATTAATATAATAGGATGCCATGATATTATTATCCCTATTATGCTAACATTTTGCAATGAAGAAAATATGGAGTACTTGACCAGTGATGACCTACTGTGACGTTTTATCATTGTATAGGTTAGGTGGTTCTGATATCCACGTCACACACTAATTTTCGCACGTGTTAAAACATATATTTAAAGAAATACAATACGTACGATTTTACGAAATGTTTCACTGTGGCAGCGAATGCCTGTCAAATATTTACCAAAGTAAGTGCTATTTCCGCCATTGGGGAAACGTGTAGGCATATATGGAATAAAGGTATCGCATCCTCGATGTATAGATCCGCCCTGCCGTCCTTGTTCTTTTGTTTGCCAAGCAGCAGGCCATTTATTGCACAATGCGGATATTTAGCTGCGTGTAAAATAATTTTGCAATACGCGCGGGGCGAAAAGAAAACATTCGTCATCGTCAAGAGTGCACTGTAAACGCAAGCAGACGCGAGGAGACCAGAATGAATCAGTATTGCCAATACATCGCAATTGCCAGGGCGGTGAACGTCAAGTCTGTTTTCCCTATATAGTGCACTGACGAAAAAAATTATTGATGTACATATACGATTTATCTTTTTTTCGTAAACAGTCCTCGAAAAGGTATCTCAAACCGAGAAGAATAAAATTAAATCCATTGTGTTTAATATATTCAAGAAATTTATTATTATGATATAAATATATATATTTCAGATATTATTTGTAATTCACAATATTAAACATGTTTGCAATTATAAGTAAAAATAACTTCAATAATAGAAAGAATCCTATTTTCGCAAATATATTTGATATCAAATGAATTTATTGTTATAAATATTGACACGTTCTGTGCAATTTATTTATCATAATAAATACTAGACAATATTGATTCTCAGAAATACATTCAGTTAACATTGTTAATAATTTAATGTTAAATAAAAATAAAAAAATTGCAAAGTTATTTGAAAAGTTGCGTCGTCACTGTAAAATTCGGAAATCCTATTTATGATAAATTTGTACCGCAACCTTTTCGCTTCTTCTCGAGAGATAAATTCAATTTCGTGCTGCGAAATTACGGGTAAGAGAACGGCTTGCGAAAAAAAGCGTTAACATCGCGCCAATCGACGTCGCTCGATGTAACGCGATTATATCCTCCACTCCGGTATAAGCGGTTCTGAAAAAGATTACGAGAGACACGTCACGTCGGCATCATCCTCGCGATCGTTTCCCGTGATCGCCGGTCATCGCCGCGCGGCGCGGCAACGGCGTGGCTTCGCGCTCATTGTGATTTTAATAAGCCTTATGCAAATTACAAATGAAATTGTCAGAGGCAGGCCCGCGGTCCATTCTTCGTCGCTGATAGGGACAATTAGAGGAGCTTTGTCCAGCGACCGAGCGTTGTCCAGCCGGCCGGCAACTTGAGTTTGACCGGGAGAGAAAGAGAGAGAGAGAGAGAGAGAGAGAGGAGAAGACCACCCGCCAACCCCTGATGCTTGTATCCGCTCCCCGGAACGTTCACTTCCGACTCTCGGAATCGCGCGTCGCCGCGCCGCGCCGTGTGCCCCTTTATGTATGTTCCCGCGATACTCACGAGTCATCGATACATTAACTGAATTAACGCATATCGTTGCGCAATTATTAACACACTCGTTATTATCGTTTTTAATAAAAAAATGCAATTATTTCCTTAGGGAGCACAGAGTCTTGCATAACAAGTAACGCAAAAGAAAATTAATTAATCGGTCGTTTCCCTCCTTTCCATAAAATAAAAGACACTTGATTGATTTTCTTGTACATTATGCGTCTGTGCTCCGGCCTTTAATACGTACGACGATTTTCCGGTCTTTCACTACACGATGGGCTCATTCCGGATTAATTTTCATCAGTTCAACAAATGTACAAGAATTATATCAAATGATTTTTACATGTACTTTAACACTTTTAGAAAGTACATAAAATTGTGTATTTAAAAAAAATTCAATGTTTTAACTGCCCAGATAGCCAAGTCTGTAGAGAGTAGATTTTTTTTAATGTCTGCTGCATTCTATGTGCTAATAAAATAACAACAGAATTGTTACAGAATTAGATGTACATAATACTGTTGACAGACTGCTCGAAAAAACGTAACAGAATCTGCTCAGTTTCTGTCAACAATTTGCCTTCGCATTATGTCGACAGGCGATGTTAACAGAACACAAGCTTAATGCGGACGCAGTTGATGGCAGATTGTCTTTCCTGCTCGAACCTGCTGACAGTCTGCTAGAAGACTCCAGACATTTTGCTATCTGGATGATTACTCTGGATGATGCTCCTAGTTTAAAAAAAAAAAAAGAAAACACGAATGATCCAATCGTGTGTTCATACTAAGGATTATCATAATTATAAAAAAATTAATTTCTAACACTTACTGCCTGGTTTATGCTTCGGTCCTAACTCTAAAGTCCTACAATTCAGCATGGATTCCAACGGAATACAGATTTCAGTTAGGACCAATTAAGACTGGCAGTCTTATTGGCTGAATTTTAGGATTTTTGGGTGACTAAAGTATAAACCAAACATATGGCAGACGCGATGCAAAATGTGATCTGGACCAGTCGCTGTTAGAGCTCAATTTAAAGATACTCGTAGCGAGTATCTATAGAAAAGGGGCAGGAGATAGTCAATTCTTAGCCGCGAGAAACGAATTTGCTACGCGACGGTTGGCTTGATTCCGCAAGAAGGAAGACGTCAGAATCGCGGCGTGGAATTGTTCTGCCGTAATCTGAAAAGGGAGGCAGAGGAAGCGAGAGAAAGATACACGTTCGCCGGAACCCCGGGGGCCCAGGAGAACGCGCCAATGCAACGGTGGGGGTGAAAGGACGGAGGGGCAAGTTGAAAATCGAACGGAATCACGGAGGCTGGAGGTCGGTGGTTCGGGGGCGGAGATAAGTTTTTACGGTAGGGTTACTAACTTACGGACTCGGCATTGTCGAGTTCCCGCCGACGGGAGGACAATGCGCCTTCGGAACACAATGCTTCACTCTGGAAATCTGAAGGCAGTCTTGACTACCAACCTGCACAACCGCCCATACTGCCTCCCTATGTGTCCCCCCTCCCCCATCGCCCAATACTCGCTCCTTCGACACATACCCATTCCACCTCCATTGCCCACCGCACCATCCTGCCACCCCCGTCGGCCTCCGTCGTTACTTTCTCATTCTTTTGCTCTTACCCAGCCTCCCACCCCCTCCGCGAAAATCTCCTTTCGATGTAGCTTCCTCGGCCGTTCGTCGTGAGTGACGACTCTCCAAGTTCATATTCGTAAATCTATGAGTTCGGTGGAAGACGCGTGTTTCCAAAACACACAAAAGAAGTATCGCTGAAATTTCCCTTTTCAAGATCACGTCATATTTTTCTTCCCCCAATCAAGAGATACTTTTGAAGCATTTTTATTCTATATGAATTCACCCTTGTATAAGCGCGCGCGCACACATATCTCGCTTATTGTAATACAAAATATAAAAGGCGCGGAAACAACGGCGGCGAGCACGGAAGCGGGGCGGGATGAAAGAGGCGGGAATAAAACGGACGAGGAAAGGCGGACATACGAGAGTATTTCAATCGCTCCTAGCTTTTCTCTTTAGGCGGGCTTCGCCGTTTCTTTGCCCCACAAAAGCCACATTGTTTCGTCCACCGCTCTCCTGCGATGGGACGCAAGTTGAAATGCTTCTCTTCTCGCGAACGCGAGACGGCAGATAGTATCGGCAATCAGACACGAAACGTAGATTTGAAGACGCATTTCATGCATTTCATGCAATCCTTTCTGACAGCATTTCGTTACTTATTTCTTATTCGGCATTAGTATTTACTGGTGGATACATCTTGTATTTAAAAGTTTCCTGTATCTTTGATTTTCAATCATAAACGAGACATTCGAAAGTCTGAAGTTTGAAGAGACAATAATCGTCTATAATTAGTTTTACCGTTAATACAAATGAACTTTTATTTCTTAAGTAAAAAAAAAAAACAAACTTTTATTGCTGGTAATATATATTATTTTCTAATCCTCTTTGAAGTTCAATAATTACTTTTGGGAAATAATAAAAATTGATTAATCTACTCTTATATTTTCTTCTTAAATACTAACGTTGTGATAAATAATCACTTCTTTCAACGGTAACTTATAATAACGCGCTGCTAATTCATGAAACATTTTAATTTCTTTCGATGTCTATCTCGACGGTTGTATTAGATCTCCCACAGAAATGCTCATCACTTTCCCTCAAAAGGTTTTCTTCTCACAGAGCGCGTCTTTTTCTCCCGTTCCTCTTTCCCGCCATCTTTCTCGCTCTCTTTCTGCCTTTCTTTCTATCTGCTCCTTCTTTTTTGCGATGTCGCTCGCTCGCTCTCTTTCTTAACTCTTTCATCCCCCTCATCTGCCGCCGTTCTCCTCGCGACAACATTCTTTTCAGTATTCACTGTGCAGTTTCTTGTACCGATACTTCCTTCTTTCATCGTCGCGTTATTCAAGCTTTTGATGCCGCGGCGACAAAGCTCTTTACTTCTTTCTGTGAACGAATGAAAGCAAAGAACGTTGGCGATATATATGTAATATATAGATGAAT